ACTTAGAAATACAATAATTGCTAAGGAGCGAGAAAAGAGGAGTAATCTGGAGTACAGTAGATATCAATTGGTATTGCATTTAAATTGTTGCAGATTAAAGCTGGTAGGAAATCATAGAACCGGAAGAAAGTTCCATAATCTACCGGTGCAGGGGGATAAGAAACTGTTAGAATTTACGGTTGCATCTAGACAACTCATCTATAAATTGATGAGACTTTATCGCAAATCTAGTACTACGCTTAAATTTAAAGAGTCTAAACATCAGAACGAAGAGCTTATCTGAACAATTACCATGAAAGTATTTATAGAAATAAGCACAGGGCGGCGGAAAAATGACTGAAGCTGAGACGTCAGAACAGAGCTGATTGCTGCTTCTTCTTTGGGTTTTATCAATGTGCTCTTGATAAATATCAGGAGCACCAGACCAGATGTGGTAGCAATATTATAAGCATGGTCGAATAGGTGACTTATAGATATTTAAGATAGGTTCTGGTGAGAGAAATTGTCCAGTTCGACACAGTAAACGAACCTATCTTAGCCGCTGTCTAGCAATTGATTCAAGATAGTTTTTCCACTTCATATCAGCCGAGAACGTTAGAAGGAGAAACGACACACTCACCTGGAGGTTAGCATCAGCTATGCTGATAGAAAGCCGGGAGGGGTATCTCAGCTGATTAATAGAGATTAGTTTAGAGGCGTTAAAGTTAACAAGACATTTGCCCCAGTTAACAACAGACTGATGGTCGTTTTGGATATCAGCTGCTATTTTAACCTCATCTAACTGATCAAATTTACTATCGAGACATGAATATATGGTTAGGTCAACAGTATATATAAAAAGTTGAGAAATGATGCCATCGGGAAGGTAATTAAAGAAAATGAAAAACAATATAGGATAAAGATAGTGCTTTGTAGGAAACAATGACATAACATGATGGATTTTATCAGTTGATATGATATAACATTATTATAGCATATATCATATGCTATAATAAAACATTATTATAGACTATATTAGATTCTATATCATGCTTATGGAATGTTTCAGATTCTATAATATAAGGGTGAGTGAATAGCGTAACGCTTATTGATGTGGAAAGTGGTCTAACACAGTGCACTCAAAGTGTGGGATTTTTACGGGTGCCGGTACGCGAGTCATCGTCTGCCGGTACGCAGAGTGTTTCCAGGAAACAAAAAAAAACAGCAGTCACATTCCACGCCACGGGAGACTGCCTGGTCTGTTTTTTTTTATTTTTTTATTTTTTATTTTTTTTTTACATTTACTTTTTAGTTTTATATTTATATTGTTACATTTCTCAATTAGTCACTCATATTAAAAGTCATCGCAATAAAACTAACGAATGCAAAACAGTGAAATAAAATACGTATAACAACGCCAGATGTGAGGTGTGGGACCACAACTAGGATTACCAAAAAGACCATTTTCATAGAGATATATTTCTAATTTGACATTCAAAATATTTGCCTGACTGTGGAAAAAAGAATAGACATGTGGATTTTGACTTTTTGACCAATATTTTTTTTTAAATTAGCATTTAATTCCTTAGCCATTTCAGAAATTCCTTAGTCATTTTGAGAAATGAATAATACTACGAATATTCAAATAATATTTTCTCGGATCGCTGTTATATAATTATTTATCGCAAATATGGTATCGGTCTTTGACACACTGGGAAGACATATTATGTCAATAATGACTGACTTTAGAATGCATAAAACATAATGTCCGCATTTTTAGTACAGATAGTCTTAATATGACAGTGAAAGAGAGCATATCTAAAAAAAAAAAAAGATGAGTGGGCAGAGCGACCTCCAACCACTACCTGGTCACTCGCACATTGAATAAAAAGCAAAATCAGATAGTTTGAGAACAACTGGTGTAACCTGCTTAACGATCTTTTGTAAATGGATGTCAGAACACGATGTGAGAGGGATAGTAAAAAGGACATGGCGTGTCGTTTCACAGAAGTTTCACAACAAATATTATATACTAGAAGTTTTGTAGCAGAACACACATAGCCTGCTATGCAGGAAAAATCGGACAGATATATGAATTGTAAGAAATAGGGTTAACCGTTATCGTTCCAACATATCCTCATAAAGTGCACTTCTTACCACTTCCTTTAGCAACTCCGTGTCTGGGCTTTGTGTAAGTTCAAAATTAGTAAAAGAAAATTAAGATTTAGACATTTATAGCAGTTTTTCTGTTCCTGTGTTATGACGTCAGGAATTGGAATGCTTATCTTTAAGCCACGTCTCTTTCTATCCTGGAGGAATTAAATCATTACTTTCGTCCTGGGTATGACGATAAACTACATCCGCATCCTGGGTACGATGATAAACTACGACCAACAGCAACATCAGGAGGAGTGTGGAACCTCCTCTTAATTGCTGGTGTTCCCAGGTCCACCCTGACACGGGGTATTAGCACCTGTTAGGTTACCAGCTATGGGCAAATAGTTAACCCCCAAACTGGGATCAAAATACTATGAAAACGTAAAAATAGATTTTAATGCCAGAAATACTTTGTGAAAAAATATTAACAGCAGTAGATTTTTGAAGGAAAAAATTATTACCAGCAATATATTATTACCATAAATACATATTTTTTTTAAATATTACCAGCAATACATTTAAGTATATTTTTGGAAGGAAAATATTACCGGCTATACGTTTTTGAAAAAAAAAAATTACCATCAATATATTTTTTTGAAAAAATATTACCAGCAATAAAAATTCTCGGCATTAAATATCCCATTGACGTTGATATGCCGTAAAACAAAACAAAACAAACCAAACCATATCATTACTTTTACATTAGTTGCCATCGTCGGTGACTTGTCTCTATCTATAAAAGTCAGGATGTGTGTGTGTGTGTGTGTGTGTGTGTGTGTGTGTGTGTGTGTGTGTGTGTGTGTGTGTGTGTGTGTGTGTAACGAATGCACGGCCACAATTTTCGAGGGATTTGCTCGAAAATCTATATGCACATGCTCCAAGTTAGCGGGAAGGCCAAAACCAACTTTGCATTTCCCAACTCCCATCGATAGTGGAAATAATCGATTTTTTCATGCTTCTACGGCACTTTTCATGTAGTTTGCGGCCATTTTCTACAGGCCAGAGTGAGAGCCAATAGCTGGCTGCCACGAATAGGCAGGAAGATTCTATTGGCCAGCGTGAGAGCCAACAGCTGACTGACACGAATGTTAACTAGCATGCTAGCATGCAAAAAATCGATAGCTGCATTCGTCACAAGTGGGAAAAATTTAAATCTGCATGGCACTTTACTTCAATTAGCTCATTCGCTTGCTTAAACTCAACGTTGATTCTGATTCCGCAGAACTGGGTTGGGTGTGAAAAAGTATTTGTTGTTAACATTCTTTTTTCATTCGGTTTTTCCTGTTACGAGTCCTTTTTTAAAGCTGATCGTTTTGTGTTCATTTTGTTTAGTTCTTTTTTTCGTAACAGATTTAATGTTTAGTATAGAGCTTAGAAAAAATTCGCAGTGTGAGATAGGCAAGAAGTAAGGCATGTAGCAACATCAGCACGGCAAAGGCCACTCCTTTAAAGGCAAGGAAGGGCCAAAATATTTTAAGCCAAGTGATAGCGATTGCTGTATGACTCGTACGATTTTTGAATCAAGCACGGGCATTGGCGGGCCATGCTGCTAGTCTTATATATGCCGTTTTGCGCTGGAATTAGTAAATCCCAATGTCTCTGGTAACAGAGAGTTTTCCGTATTTTCCACTTATGTCGGAAATCGATTCGTTTGTATTAACTGCACCAATATTCGTTTTGTATAAATGGCAGTATTTTTTTTCTTATTTAAATGGTAGCAAAATATGCTTTGCATAAATATCACTGAAATTAATTTTGTATTTATTGCAACAAAATTCGTTTACTACAAACAGAATCAAGGTACGTTTTGTATAAATGGTACCAAAATTCTTTCTCTAAGGATGGCAATGAAATTCTTGTATAAATGTCACCAACATTCGCTTTGTGCAAATAGTATCGAGATTTGTTTTCTATAAATGAAACTAAGATCTTTTTGTTCAAAGAGCATGAAAATTTGTTTGTTTTTTTTAAATAAATGGCGCCCAAATCATTTTCGCATTTATCTATTAAGCATTAATCTAAGAATAATAAATCGTTTACATTTAAAAAAAAAAAAAAAAAAAAAAAAAAGAAAGAAAATTGTCAGCTTTTATTTAGTTAAAATTTGGCGTTGATGACAAATGAGGAAAACAAATGAAAACAAATGAATGTGTTATAACTCTGACGACAGAAACATGTCCAAAAATCATCTGGCCTTAATCTTTTCGTTTTAAATATTTTACGTTTCATGCAAAATGAAAATCCAACAAGAAAAAAAAAAAGGAAAAACACGAAGAGAAACAAATTCTATCTTTTATAATTTGTTTTTTTTTGTTTGTTTGTTTTGTTTTTTTTGTTTCCTTTTCATTTTGTCTCGTGTTCGGCTCATCAATATTTGTTTTAGTTTTTCTATTTTCTTTTCACGTGCAAAGTGAAATTTGTTTTCTCTTAATCTATCATCTCTTATTTATACTAATTTGATTGGACACACAAGAACATTTTTCTCAGCTTCAATTTTTTTTTTTTTGTGTGTGTGTGTGTGTGTGTGTGTGTGTGTGTGTGTGTGTGTGTGTGTGTGTGTGTTCTGGCTTTTTCATTGCCTTTCGGACTCATTCCTTTATTTTCTTTTTCACATCTTTCTCTCTTACTCTCTCTCTTTTCTCTCTCTCTTACTCTCTCTCTCTCTCTCTCTCTTTTTCTTTTGCTTTTTTGGTTTTGTTTTCCCGTACTTTCATTCCTTTCTCTCGTTATTTCAATTCTTTCCTTGCCTTCCCTATCTTTCTTTCTTTTTCTTCTCATACATTCTTCTCACTTTCTTTCTTCAATTACCTTGTCTTTCTTTTTTTCATTGCCTTTCTACACCATTGTTTCATTTTTTTATATAGATTTATCCCATTTTTTCTTTCTTCTTTCTTTCTTTCTTTCTTTCTTTCTTTCTTTCTTTCTTTCCATGTCTTTATTCTTTCTCTTAATTTCTATCTTCAATTTCTTTTCTTTTTTCTTTCTTTTTCTTTCTTTCTATTACTTTCTTTTCCTTCCCTCTCCTTCTTTCTGTCTTTTACTTTCTTCTCAATTTCTTTCTTCAATTCTCTTCTCCTTTTTCATTACCTTTCTGATTCATTCCTTTATTTTTTACATGTATCTCCCGTGCTTGCTTTCTTTCTTTCTTTCTTTCTTTCTTTCTTTCTTTCTTTCTTTCTTTCTTTTCTACTGATTCTATCTCACTTTCTGTCTCCCTTTCTTTCTCGGCTTTAATTTATCTATTCAAAACTCCTTCTTTCTTTCTTTTTTTCTTTCTTTCTTTCTTTCACCACTTCCCCCTTTCCCTTCAGTTTACACACTTTCTTCTCAAACCATGCAAGATTTTTTTTCCTCTTTTTTCTCCTTTTCACTTACAGATTTCGTTGACGTCTCTGAAGATGGCTACAAGGTTAAAGGTTATTATCTTTGCATTCAGGCCAACATCATTTTTCTGCATCAATTGACGTGACTTCGCCTTGAAGGTTAGCGTGGAAGATTCATCATCAGCACGACGAATATAGATTGGGCCGACAAGATTGAATAGCAAAATGAACGAGCCAAAAGAAAGAAAGAAAGAAAGAAAGAAAGAAAGAAAGAAAGAAAAAGAAAGAAAGAAAGAAATTTGGCAACTCGAGCATTCAACCAATCGCTTCGTAGAGACGGCTATGTGGCAAGTACTATTACTGCGACTACAGTTCAGTGCATGGTAAAAAATAAGAAAGGTTTACGAAACAGAACATGTCGAAACGATAAATCATAAAACAATGGCGCTGTCTTTAATACTGACAATACAATGTATGACTGGATTTGATTAAAAGTAAAGAGACGAGTAGTTGTATTGAAACATAGAAAGAAAAACAGGATAAATGGTAAAGAGATAGAAAAACGATTCTTAAAAAATGAAAATTAAATATACCCCTAGGTAATTGTTGATATTTTAACAATTTTCTGATTTTCAGTAATTTACAAAATTGTGTTTTAAATTGTTCCACATATTTAAGTAGATTCTCCTATTGTTCAGTTCACAATCCTTCCTGATTTTTGAACAGGAGTAGAGGTTTATCGCTTGTTTCCTGTTTAGGCTTGTGTTTCCGTTTTTTTCTAGAGTCTCTTTATTTATTTTCACTCTCAGAAGTCGCTTGCGTCTTAGTGACATGATCGCCTTGCTTGGATTGAATTTATTTTTAAAAAAAATAGTTATTCATTTTTAGAATTAAATACATTACAAGGATTCCTTTTTTTTTCATTGGATTATTTTTTTTCTTTGTTTTCCTTCATATTTTCTTTATTTCTTCTTTCTTTCCCTTATTTTTTTTCGCTATTTTTCTATTTTGGTCTTTTTTTTTTTTGTCGCATATTATTTTACGTCATTTCTCCCCTCTTCCTTTATTTCTTCCTCTTTTTCCCCTTATTTTTTGTTCATTATTTTTCTCTTTTTCTTTCGCATATTATATCTTTCTTTTTTCCTTCTTTTCCTTTATTTCCCACTTTCTTCGCGTCTTTCTTTCTTTTCCTATAGTTTTTTTTCTTCTCTTTTTCGTCCCTTTTTCTATTTCCCACTCTATTTCTTCCTTTCTTTTTCTATTGTCCTTCCCCGTTTTCCATTTCTTTTTTTATTCATTCATATACTCAGTCTTCTTTTTCTTTCTTTTCTCACCTTTCTCTTTATTTTTCTTTCTTCTTTGCTATCCTTTTTTTTCTTTATAAAGCAATAAGTTTTATACATAAAGACGCCTGGAGCCAGCTCCATATTCAAGGTAATATTCATAGGTTAATTACCTCGCTACTCGAGCATTCTGTTTGACGAATTAAAACGTAATAAAAAACATGGCTGATAATGTGGTAGACTGTTCATTTAAATAGATGCAGATCGCCTTTCATTGACAGTAATCAGTGATCGAGTAAAATTCAGAATATCAAATAATGATTTTTTTAAAGCTGAATTATTTGTTATTATGAAGATTGGCGCAACACGATCTTCTTCGATTGTCCTCGTTGCAAACCAACCTGAGTAAAAATCAATGACTTTCAGAATAAGCGGTGACTTCTGCAACAACATAAATTCTCATAAACAGGATAAGAGAGATAGATAGTTATGAATTATGTGCCCCACCTCTCTCTTTCTCTCTCTCTCTCTCTCTCTCTCTCTCTCTCTCTATATATATATATATATATATATATATATATATATATATATATATATATGTGTGTGCGTTTTATAGATTATGCAAAAGCGTTTGACAAAGGATGTCACAAAGTACTATTGGTACTGCTGGTAATGTTGTTGTATTTAGGAAGGGTATTAAAATAATCCAGAACTTATACTGTAGGCAAAGCCCATGACAAATAGAAAATAAATTCAGTCGGCATAAAAAAGAGAGGATTTTATGACAAGCATGTGTCTTCCCGCCGGCCTCATTCAACTTAAACAACGAGGCAATTCTGAAAGAATTAGCAATCCTACCGGGCGTCATTATTGACTGCATAAATCTTAACAACATTAGATATGCAGATTTTTTTTTTAATTTCATCCCGAAGGAAGGCAATAATGTCACTAAGACGCAAAGGGCTCCTGGAAGTGAAAGAGAATTAGCAAACATTAAAAGAAACCGGAAACCCAATCCTAAACAGGGAATAAAGGATAAACCCCTTCTACTGTCCAAAAGAGGGATCGTGAACGGGATGATAGGTGAAGCTACCTACTTCTATTAAGGAAAAGAAAAGAAAAAATATGAAATAAATAATTAGTAAATAAAATTTCACAATCCAGATGGAGACATTAGAAGTATAGAGCTAAAGAAACATTGGAAGGAACCGGAAAGCCAATAGAAAACAGGAAACAAGTGATGAACCTGTTCAAAAAATCGAGAAAGAGTGTGACGCGGGCGGTGGCCAAGGTGACACATTGTCGATATTAAACATAAAAAGAAAAGTGCAGGAACCCTAAAGAAGTAGTGAATGTAGTGAAGTAACAAAATGTACCCAGAGCGTCAAAAGACAGGAAATTGTGGAGAGCCATGATCACCCACGTATTAAAGGGTTATGGTACATAGAAGTGAGAAGTAGACAGTGAGTTACCCAATTTCACCCACCAGGCTTCGGCCCAAGCGTGGTACTGTTTTCCGGCACTTTCCAACGGCGCCGCACTCAAGGTTAGGGTTAGGGTTGAACCGATAATGTCAAGGTCACCTTCCTGAAAAATTGATCACCAAGAAATAAGCATATAGATAGATAGATAGATAGATAGATAGATAGATAGATAACGATAGAGTGATTTATAGGGTAAATAAAATAGAAATGTGAAGACAGTGGGACAGATTTCAGCTTACAAGTAGATAGATAGATAGATAGATAGATAGATAGATAGATATAAACAGAGTGAGAATAGATAGATAGATAGATAGATAGATAGATAGATAGATAGATAGATAGATAGATAAGCACGTCGAGATTTATCAAATACATCAGAAATGAGAACTCATTGGAACAGGTATGAGCAGATAGATAGATATGTAGTGAGTTAACAGATTAGAAATGAGAAAACAGTGGAATAGATATTAGCGTATAGATAGATAGATAGATAGATAGATAGATAGATAGATAGATAGATAGATAGATTGAAAGAGAGAGAGAAATAATGTCTGCTCTAAAATATCAGTGTGTTTTTTCTCCACTAGATTCCCGTATTTTGTAATATAATATTGTAATATCAAATGGATACATTATCGCAAATACTCGTTTGACGTTTGCTTCTCGTTGCAATAACTTTTTCTAATCCACCCCGAGGGATGCTTTTATCCAAACTATCTTCATAGCAACAAGTAAAATTGCTGTAACAATCATTTGATTGCACTGAACTCCCCAGTAAATCTACCCTCGACCTATTTTTATATCGAATCAAATATTCCTAATAAAAAGAAAGCATCTACCAATCTCGTACATAACTCCGTATCTTTTACAATACAGATGTCAACACCCCGTCACTATTTTATATAGATTTTTTTTTAATCATATCACTTCATGCAAGGCAGTAAAGGCAATAAGTCCCAAACCGCGGTCACTGAGTGTAAAAAAAAATAAAAAAAGAGAAGCATTATTAAGGAGGGATAACAATAGAAGAGTAATGATGAAGACCGTAGATGACGATTGATATTGTATTTAAATTTTTGAAGATCGAAATTTGCAGGGAAGCAAAGAGACAGAAGAGAGTTCCACAAGCGAGAAGTGCAAGAAAGGAAGCAGATAGCATAAAACTTACTGTTACATCTAGCAAATTCATAAAGTCTAGGTGCCACAATGATGAGTTCATCCGAGCAATTACCATGAAAGTATTTCTAGAAAAGGCACATGAATTTACATTACGGTGGTTGAAAAGTGATCGAAGCCGAGATGCCAGGTCAAGACTAATAATATTGCTGATTATTCGTTTGGATTTTATCAAGAATCTCTAAATATATAGCAGCAACAATGAACCATATATGGCAATAATATCCAAAGCATTGACGGATGGCAAACTTATAGATATGTAAGATAGATTCAGGTGCACGACACAATGAATCAACAGTTTTAGCAGCAGACCTAGCAATAGATTCAATATCATCTTTCCTCTTCATGTCAATCTACAATGAAAGCTTGAGAAAACGCAGCTAGTCACTTTCATGGAGATTATTATCACCTTTGCTAATGTGAGGCATAGTCTTTTAGGTGATTGGTTTTTGAGATAGGATTTTTCTGGTTTAATTAATGAATGAACCAGGTATATGTAATAGGCCTATAACAGATCCTACTAATTTTAATGTGGCCCAATTTCAATATATATAGATTCTAATTATATCATAGCAGTGAAAATCCCACAACTTTTAACCAAGCTACTGAGGAAGAAATTGTTATACCTTCACAAGTAAGATGGAGAAGTTAATTACTAACCATAAAAAATGTAATAAATGATTTAACTATCGAAATAAGAGTAGCTGACCCCCTAAATGGAAACTGTTTAGTAAAAAATGTAATCAACCAGGTTACAATGATTAACAACTGCCTCAAATAATATATCATTACAGCAGAATTTAAATAATATATATATATATATATATATATATATATATATATATATATATATATATATATATATAGCCCAACACTTTCGCTTAGTTCCTGGGAATTAAAGAAAAGGGTAGCGTTGTACTCAGTATATAAATGGAAACTTCCTCCTTACCAGTTTAATACTAAAGAAATGAGGATGCGTTAGCCCTGTGTATTTGTGAAGGTCGAAACTGGTGGGACTAAGAAATTTAGCTTGTCTGAACTTTTGCCCTAAAAATAGTGAGTTTCGACAAGAAAACATTTCGTCTGCGGGAAAGTGGTTGCGGAGTGGAAAATAATTTATCACTTACAAGGCCGTGTGACACGGATACTGAATGTATTTCGTGAGCCTAACGTATTGTTCTGAACTTTGGTCCGAAACGACCCGAACTGAGTAGGAGTGGTTGTGAATCCTGCGGGTATGTAATCATTAGAGGGATTGTCTTTGTCAAATGATGATATGTCTGCAAAAGTCACATTAATTAGAAGTGTGGTTTTAATAGTAATGAAGGTAAGAGCTTTGATGCTCGTCGGAGCACTCCTCTCCCCAGATTAATTTGTGTCACCCGTGGTTTCAATAGGGATGGTTGAATAAGAATTACAGCCCGGATAATTGCTTTCACATGGAGAAATAGTTTTTGGTTGGCCTATTGATCTCTCTCTCTCTCTCTCTCTCTCTCTCTCTCTCTATCTATCTATCTATCTATCTATCTCTCACTCTCTATCATCTATACAAATGACATCAACTACATCATTACCAAATTTAGGGAAAAATCCTGAGGAAAATTCTATGTTGTTGATTCGGTCTGTTGATGCAGATAGAGAATCGTAATCCAGAAACGACACACAATGTCAATGCGTGTCTTTCCCTGTGTTTTCCAGACCATCCTTGTCTTCTCTCCCTACCCTTCTCTATTCCTATCTATCTATCTATCTATCTATCTATCTATCTATCTATCTATCTATCTATCTATCTATCTATCTTGTGCTCTACCGCAGTATATATTGGGTTATGTTATCTACCTTCTTGTTAATTGTTCTTTAGTCTCTTTCTAGAAAATGTCGAAGAGAAGGCAATCTCCAGCCTTATCTCGAAACATTCAAATCGCACATACAATGAATGAAAGCCGTAACGTTATTTTTTTTTGTTTTTTGGTTTTTTTTTCACATATGGTGTATTTTTTGTGAATCGAAAGAAACTCCCAGTGGACGTTCTCCAAATTCAGAGATCTCCAGCTTGGCATCTTTACAGTACTTCCATTGTGGGCGAGAGGCCAGTCGTTCATGGTTAATTCCCGCTGTTTGCCTCACTCCTGCCTGACTTTCGCAAATGTACTGTCTGTTCGTATGTGCATATAGGTTTGTGTCTGGACCGCAGCTCGTCAGATGTTTTTGAATGGCGTCCGGATCGTTTCTTTGATGCGCGCTAAGGTCATTTCTTCGGGCCATTTCTAGATCAGACACCTGCACTTCCTTGCCGCATGGAAGAAATCTTTGCATCAGTTCTGTGTTCTATTAAAAACCACCTAACACGATCTGATAAGACTCTCGTGGATCCCATTATTTTAACTAGCCATTAATTTTATAACTTGATTAGCAAATTAAAGCTATCATCAAATCCACAG